AGAGAGGAAGCAATGAAAACCAACACAGCAAGCAACGAAAGCCGAAAGGAAAAGAGATCGAGAGACTTACAGTGGTCGTCCAAGGAGCTTTAACGTCATTGGGAAGTCTAAAAGCCAAAGGTAAAAACATATATCTAGAATATTTCAGAAGCTTTTAGGACAAAAGGGACTTAGAATTCAGGAGAGTAAGGGCTTCAATTTAGTGTCTTTGGGTATTTTTTGCCTACCGTGGGTGGTGGCCGCGGCGGTGGAATACAATGGTGTAAGGCTGTCGGCCGGTGACCGGCTACCCTTCGGCGAGGGTTTTTAGAGAGATGCCAGAGCTCGTCTAGAGAGAGAGAAGAAATGAGAAAAATTGAGAGAATGAAGGCCTTAGGGATGATTTTGGGGCTTAAATACCCTCTCTCGTACTACGTCATTTTGGGAGGGTATCTTTGTAAATTTTAGCATGAGTAAACTATAAGCGTGGTCCCCCTGATTCTGTAAACATTCCATTTTGGTCACGAAACAAGTTTTTTTCTCCTTTTAATTTGGCTTTTCAATTTTAATTATTTTTATTTTAGTCACATATATATATTTTAGGTAAAATTATATATTTAGTCCTTAAATATTAATAAATTTTATGTTGATCCCGTATTAGTAATTTAGGGTAAATTACATAATTAGTACACAACTTTAGTATTATTTGGAATTAAGTTAATTAATTTTAATATTTTATGTTTTAAATATCATTAAGTATTATATGAGTAATTATTATTAGTATTTTATAATTATATAATTTATAATATAATCATATTATAATAGATTTTTATATTACTTAATAATTATTTTAAGGAGCAAATTTATAATTTATTGCAAAGACATTAATTAATAAATATCGGTACTAATTTTGGGCGTTTTGGGGTGCTAATCCTTCCCCATACGTAACCGACTCCCGAACTCATTTTTTCTGGTAAGCAGACCCGAGTTGTATTATTTTAATATTATTCCTAGGAATTTTATTAGAATAATATAACATTTTGGTGACCAATCTCACCAAATAAAAAAATTGGTGGCGACTCTACAATTTAGTGTTTCATCTGATTCATGGAGGATAAATAATTACTTTTTCGAGACTAGTTACACCGTTTGGGGTGTATTATTTGCACTCTCTGTCATCGGACAGAGAAACGTCTCGACAGATGGGATAAATAGATGCTCCATTTCTTTATCGAAGTTAATTTTTTTTTTATCTGTGGGAATGAAGGATATAGTAAAAATCTCGATGAATCATACTAAAAGATAAAACTTACCTCTCAATTATTACTGCTTAAATAATAATCTTTTGCTTTCTTAGTTCAATCAAAGGTTTCATTCACTACAACAAAAAAGATTTTTAGCAACGTTTTTAGTCATATAGTGACATTTTTTAATGCCACAAAAAAAATTATGGCGGAAAAAAAACGCTGCCAAATTCACCGCTGAAACCAACGTCGCAAAAGGTGGTGGCGTTTTTAGTCTAAAACGCCGCTAATGGTTATGATTTTTTGCAGCTTTTCTTCCATAAACACCGCTAAAGATAATGACTTTTAGCGACATAGTTAGGAAACGTCGTTATATATATTGTCCTTTGTGGTGTAAACAACAATACTCTTTTTTATTATAGCCTTGACGGAAAATTTGTTACTGGTTTGATTCATACATGATAATAATGGCGGGGGTCTCCACTTCAACTGGAATGTTAATCAAGTTTGCATCAAAGCATTTGAAATGTTAAATGTTAAACATCATACTGAGCTGTTGGCAGTGATTTACTACACTGTTAAGAATATGATAAAACATAGAAGGCATCTAAAAAGGAACCCCGACATCCTGCAAAATGTTAGAAAGTTGTACAAGAAGGTGCAACATTAAACATTGGTGTTTCAGGATAATTTAAACATATGTTTAATTTACAACAATATATCATTCTTGGTCTGGTGGTCTGATGGTTTGCTTTGCTTGGCTATTTTATAATCAATAATGAACCAAACCGATAAAATTTACAGTAATCATAAAACTTAAAACAAAATGAAGTCAGAAGTTACCCCAATAAGATATGAATCCAATTCAAATTCCTGTAAATAAAAGCAAAATGTTATTTGCAATTCTAGATTTTTTAAACAACCGAAAAACCCTAACCTTCAAATTTTGGGATTTTAAACAGAGTGGAGCGACGGAAGGGTGAAGTAAATGAAGCGCGGAAGCTGATTCTAGACCTGATAGCAGTGGATCATCACTTTAGAGTTGCTTTTCAAGGTTTCTGTTAGGGTACAAAGAATGAAGATGCAAATGAGAAAGATGGAAAGTGGAAAGTAGAAATGACGACAAACGGCGGAAGAAAGGGATGATTGAGTAGGGAAAAGAAAAGGACGCGATAGAGGAGCGGGCTGACAGCGGCTGAAGAGTATATTTGATGTATTGCAACACAGAGGCCAATGAGCAATCGACGACGAAGAGTGAAAAAAAAGGGGAAGAAAATGTTAAATGAAGAGATAAAGGTTGTGTTTTTAGGGAAATTTTAAACGGGTAAATGAAACAATTAGGAATTTGGAACACGATGGGTTAAAGGATTACACAATTGCGGCGTTTATAATAAAAATGCCACTAAGGTACATCAATATTGTAGTGTTTATTACGAAAACACCACTAAATTACATGATTATTGCGACGTTTATTTACAAAACGCCACTAAAGTACATAACTATTGTGGTGTTTGAACAAAAATGCCACTAAAGTAAAAGTCTATAGCGGCGTTTGTTTACAAACGCCATGAAAGTCTGAGTCTTTCGCGGCGTTTGTATACAAACGCCACTAAAGTAAGAGTATTTTGCGACGTTTTATAAAAAAACACCATTGACTCTAAACAACAAATATTGTCTATCATATTTTGGTCATCCGTTTTAAAAAATATATATTTTAATCATTGCGGCATTTGTATAGAAAATATGATAAAGTACAACTCTGTTGCGGCGTTTGTTGGAAAACGATACTATAGATTAACCTTATTGCGGCGTTTGTATAAAAACGCCGCTAATGTACTTCTCTATTGCGTTATTTTTTGGAAAAACTTCACTACATATTAACCCTATTACGGTGTTTGTATAAAAATGCCGCTAACATACCAATCTATTGCGGCGTTTGTTGCAAAACGCCACTAAAGTACTAATCTGTTGCGACTTTTGTTGTAACGACACCACTATATATGAACCTTATTTTGATGTTTATATGAAAACATCGCTAAATTACTATATGTTGCGGCGTTAGTTGAAAAAATGCCACTATATATGAACCCTATTACGACGTTTGTATGAAAACGCCACTAAATTAGTATATGTTGTGGTGTTTGTTGAAAAACGCCTCTATATATGAACCCTATTACGGCGTTTGTATAAAAATACCGCTAATTTTACTATTTTGCGGTATTTTAAATTGAAAATCCACTATATATTTAAAATTAGTGACGTTTATTTTTTAAAATGCTGCTAAAAACACCGAACAACTTTACTTTAGTATTTTTTTGTTTCTTCTGCTTTTTTCAACACCTGCAGGTAAAAGAACTTGATTAAATCATAGTTTCATCCATAAAAATTTTCGGTTCATTATCATCATCATCCCTTCCACTACGTGCCTTTATTTCTAAAAACCAGTGTTATTAAAATTGGATCAGTCAGTTTGACCGGTTAAATCGAAAATCGATTGTCTATTTGGTCCGATCACCCTATCAAATCAGTTGCAATCAATTTTGCAACGAACCGATAAAATTGGTGTGAATCGGTCACTGGTTATGTTTTTTTTATAAAATAATTAAATATTTTTTATTTAGTTGTTAATGAATTTCATTAGGTATTGATCTTAAATATTATATTATAGTTAATTTGAATCATTTTGTTTCACTTAATTTTATGGTATTTAACTTATATATGTCATGACTTGTGATATTTTTATACTTTTTAATATTATGAACTTAAAAAAGAGTGTTATATATATATTAATATCACTTTTAATATTATATAAAATTTAAAAAAAAATATTATTTTATATAAATTAATTCAACCCAGTTTAACCACAATTAAACCAATAAATCAGTACTTTACATGTTTAAAGTCCAATCTGATTTTAAAAATATTGTTAAAAACCATTACCTGGCCTGTACTGCAGACAACAGTGAAAGATTGATGTAGAAATCTACCTTTTTTGCATGCTTTTTTCACTGCAAAAACCCCACTAATGATCATGCATAGGCATGGCATAGGTCTCTTTAAAAAGCTACACTAAACTACAAAACTCTACACTCTTTTGTGCCTCTTACCTTTTTCTCTCTCTTCTGCAGAGGTTATTGCAAATTCCTAGCCATCTTTGCACAGCTGAATGAAACTGATGATTAAAGCAGAAGGGTTGGAAGAGTGAAATCAATGTCAAGAATGATAGTCTTGCTCCCCACCAACAGAAAGTAAGTTCAAACTTCAAACAATCAAGGCGAGTGCTGAAGCTTATGTTCATTGAGCATAATTGATCTGTTTGTTCCCTTTGGTTTCTGGTTTTGCAGTGATTTCATTACACATTTGGGATTACTATACATCTGAGAAGTGAAAGTTATGCTGAGGAATAAGTTCAGAGCAGTGACCAACAAGCAAGCTTTAATGGCTGATCACACTTCTCTCTTTGTCTCTCCAAGATTCAAATCTTTCACCACAAAATATCTCCCCGAGACTGAACCCGTCATGTCCCCTACTTCAATCCTCGACGACAAGCCATTGTTTCCGTTTGGTAACACCTTTGTTCTCCATTCAAATCAACCCAAACCTCCCAAAAGATTCATCTCACCCGAACCATTGGAACCAAAAGGTATTGGTCTCGCCATAGTCGAAAACAGCAGTTCTCTGTAGACAAGTAACAACAAGAACAAGGTTGTGTTTGGGACCAATCTCAGAGTTCAGAAAAGGAGCTATCAGAGGATTATACATGCGTGAAATCCCACGGGCCTAATCCAAAAACAACTCATATATATATAAACTGCGTTGTTAAGAGCTGTTGCAGTGAAGTTGATGGGACCAAGTGTGCAGCAAAGAGTGATTATTTCCTCAGCTTTTGTCACACATGCAAGAAGAATCTTGAACAGAAGATTGACTTTTACATTTACAGGTTCATATTCCATTTTACTTCCTCATCAAAACCCAGATTTCTGAACTTGATTCTATTAGGTTTGTTTAATGTATAATCTGATCATTTGTTTAACTCTTACAATGCACAGAGGAGAGAAAGCTTTTTGCAGTCAGGAGTGCCGATATCAGGAAATGATCCTCCATGGAGAGGAGAATTAAGACCTTTGTGCTTTGGATAAATTATATAATCTTTGTAGATCAATGTTTGAAGGATAAAGCAATTAGGCAAAAAAGAAGAAGCTTTCTTCAAATGGAATTATCAAACCACATCATTTCCAGATCGCTCTTCGTTTTCTTCCATCTTTTTCTTTTTCACAGAGAAATTTACGAACGGAATTCCCCTGCCCCATCGTACTGCCCCCATATATATAATTTTGAGACACGTGGGTTATTTTAACTTAACTGAAAAATAATATTTAAATTATATATATTTTTAGTTAAAGATGTTTTTCCTTAAATATTCATTTATCATAAATGTATTAACGTAAATAAACACGGTTGGAATTATCATAAAATCTCATAATGATCGTCTAGTGATAGTTTAATAAGTAAAAATATGAATAAATACAACAACGACGTTTATAAACTGATCGCACCAAAAGATCTGAGCATCAATCATGGAAGAAAAACTTGAAAAATATCAAAAATGATAAACGGAGAAGGTGATATTCCCTGAAAAACAATCACATCCATAGAAGCATGTTAAAATACAGACCAATAAAAAAATCAAGAAATAAACTTGCACCGAAAATTTACAAACATAGGTAATAATAATATCCTTTACAAAAATAGGTCGAGAAAATATTAATATGAAATTATGATAAAATTAAAATTAAAAACTAGTAAAATGAAAAGAAAATAACGAAAATGGAAACAAAAAGCAGTAAGATGACCGTGAACGTCCACCGCTACTGCTCCAAAAAATTTATCGATTTACTTGTAACTCCTGAACTGTACTATAGAAAGAACAATTTTGATAACTGCAGCAGTGCGTTTTCTCAAGAATAGTGAAATAGATGTCAAAATTAAATAGGCGTTAAATCATTTATTTTATTATTATTTGAAGGTCAAATCATAAAGGCAGGAAAAATATAAATTTTGTTTTAGAAAACATTAATAGTATATGAATATTTTAATGGTAAAATTATCCCGATAATGTTGTGAAAGAAAAAGCTTCCGCACAGTATTTCATGAATTATTTGTTGAAATAGGATGATTATTACAATGTTATATGAAAAACACTAGGAGCATAATACGTTTTTTACTTTTTTAGAGAAAACACAATAATTATAATGTGTCTTCAGTTTTCTCAAAAAGAAAAATAACCGACCATGAAGAAAACGTATTATCGTCCATGCATCTTCTCAAGAAAACTAAAGACGCATTATACTCTCAACATCTTACATGTGACACTGTAATAATCATCTTACTTCAACAAATAATTTACAGGAGTATTATGTGAAGAATGTTTTTACGTTTTTGTCATATTTTAATATATCATCCTAAGAAATCTTTCATGTAATATTATAACATTCGTCCTACTTCAATAAATAATTGTCAGGGACGTTATTATGTGAGGAATTTTTTGCCTTTTTTCATATTTTAATACATTAGATATATTACGTTTATATACTTTTAAAACATTTTTTCAACATCAAATTCATTACGATATCACAAAACCATTTTTTTATTAATTTAAATAGTACATGTTCAAAAACTCTAAGTTATTTAACATTAAACGTTCATACTCGTAACATACATAATACTAGGTCTCAAGGAACCTGGAGTGATATCAGTTAAGGTATCTTATTCTCCCTTAGAGATCTAAGTTCGAGCATTTGAACAATGTAATCCGTGCATGTAGATTTCGACCTTTTAAAAAATATCGTAAAGTAATTATTTAAATAATCTACATGTGAGATAATAATCCTTATTTAAAACCTAAACACCAACAAAAAATTCTAAATCTAAATTCATTAACATTTAGCAAAAGGAAAAACATGGGTAGATTGCATCACATAACACTATTATTTGAATGTTTTCAATTAAATCATTGTATTTCAATAAAATATAATTGAGTCATTCAATTAATCGATTACAACAATCAAACCATTATATCGCAAAACAATTATTGCATGCCCGACTGATCAACACTTTGACACTGTGAAACCCAACTAATAAAGGAAGCTGGATTTAAAAGGAAGCTAACATGTTTCCACTTGAAAGAACAGAGTGTTACTGGCAGGCAAGTAAGAATATGAGCATTTTCAGGGACACAAGCTGCCAGTTTCAAACACAAAGTACTTTCCCATGTATGATAGCATTCCAATAGATTCATATTCCGATATACTCGAATATCATAATGCATAAATATAAGTGTAAAAAACAGCTAACAAAGAGAACATACTGCACTTCGAAGTTCGAACATTATCATGGCACTTTAAGCACAACACAAGGCTACTTAAAGAACCCGAGAACAACAGACACCGAAAACAAACATTTCCAAGAAAGTTGCTGGTTACAGAAAGGCTTGCATTAAAGACATCTAACATCAGCACATCTACTTTAACAAAAGCCTCCTGAAAACAACTTATTCCAGTGGCCGCTACCTGTTGAAAACCTTAAGAGCAGATCATTAGTAATGATTAACAAAGAACAAGATAATTTAAATTAAATGTCAAGGAAAAGAAAATACCTTGCAAGTATCTTGGAACAATCAACAATCTCCATAAGAGATGGCTCTAAGAAACAATATCAGAGTGGGCATTAGGCACCAGGATGAACAAGACACAAACGATACTTTCAACTGGGGATGGAACTGGTTAACCTAACAAGTTTCAGATGTAACAAATAACCACTTTACTTTTCCTTACCACCATTTTCTTAACAAAAAAACCAGAAAAAGATGGACAGGATGGGAAAACAGAGAGAAATCCCGTAAGAGGATATTGCGGATATTTGATTGTTAAGCAGCCAATTAAGGCAATGCTGGAGAAACAAAAGTAGTTGCAAGAAAAAGAAAGGTCACATAGGCAGGCTAATTTAATCTAAGGTTGAAAAAAGAAACAAAGGGGATGATCAAAGTTAATACTAATAGAAACAAAGGGCACTAAGAAAAAAGAAACCTAAGAAATTTGGGAAGCAATTTAGTAGGGGATCTACAGACTCTAATATATACACTGTATCAGAAATTAGCTCAAGGACAACTAAACAGACATTAATCACCAAGGAGTTGATATTGTAAAGTCTTCCACTACCAAGTCATCAGTTTGATTTCATGTCAATTCAAAGATAGCAGACAACGTTTGATTCTAATGAACCCCCCCCCCCCTTGGCTTCCTGAATAGCTCGAGTCATCTTCCATCCAAGCCTACAGCACCCACAAATCACATACCTCGTGCCTTGAGTCAATCAGAAGTTCTTATAAACCATCTCATAAAGGAAAGCCTGGAGATTGTCAACCTACCATCGCCATTCCTTTTTCTCATCACCACCCAAAGAAAGCTGAACCAACACATACCGACCCATGCTACCAACCATCTTATTCAATCTATATATAAACTAAAAAACCAAACTTCAAATTTTGCACAGTAAACTTATTTACAGGAGCTGAAGAACTCCACTCTTTTCAGTCATAGGTACTGTCAAGGTTGAGAATACGACGTAAAGCCTTTGTCGCAGACGCAGAGTCAGCACTACGAAAAAGTTCAGCTACAGAAGGGCTAAGCTCCCTGGTAGGGGATGCAGGTGCAGACTTAGCAGTTTGATGAACATCAATAACAGGGTCAGCAGCAGGCAAATCAAGCGACACGGTCCTCTTCACCCGAAGTGAGAATTTGGGTATCGGCAAAGAACTTGGCGGCGGCGAATTGGAATAAGCAGGTCCAGCCCAAAGCTCAGAGTAAAGAAAACCTTCCCCAGAAATCTCCTCGGTAAGAGGCTTACCATTTCTAGGAGTCCTATTGCTGGTGATAGGAATAGGAGAGCTTTTCCAGGTGGGTTTTGAGTGTGTTCCATCAGCAAAAGGAGATGGTGTTTTGGGGGAAGATGGTGAAAAGGGAGGGGAAGATGGCCGTTTGGTTGAAGGAGTAGAATTATATTTAAATGGGGTTGGGAGCAATCCTGCTCCGGATTGAAAAGTCCGGCAGTTGACACCTCTGAAATTCCTAGACGGTGGTGATGACCCAAATCTCGCAGGATCGTGTGGCTTCACCTTCCTACAGTACTGATTCCTATGGTGCGCCACCACAACAAGTGTCTCCATAGCTTTCGTAATTTTGAAAATCAAAAACCACAGATTCAACCCTAAAAAGAAAAATAAACCAAGTCCTTCTAAAATCCCCTAATCCTTGCTACGGATCACTGAAGTACATAATAAAGATGACAACTTTTGAGACCAAAATCATGCCCAGAACAATATCTCCGCCATTGCAGATACAAATAAGAAGGTAACTAAAATCGAACTGATTTACTTATGTGTATAACTACTGGATTCAAATTAAAAAAGACCCACAAATCTATAACCTCGAATCAGACAAGATCTTCATAGATCACAACCATCAGTCATCAAAACTGCAACAAAAAAGGGAAAAAAAACGAATCTTAAATAAAAAAGGAAACATAAAATCGGGGTTAAATATCTCAGAGAAACTTGGGAGTTGGAAAAATCACCGGAAAAAAGGATGTTGGACCTTGAGAAATGTTTGGGAGTGAAGTAAGATCTGATATCGTTTAGATCTGAAGAGGGAGTGAAACGTTCTTCTTCTTCTTTCGTTTCCTTCTTGTTCTTCTGGTGAAAGGTGATTTCATGTAAATGGGTATTGGGTGAATCTTGTTTTGTTTTTTTCCTTTGATTTCAGGAACTTTTTTTCTCTATTTTTTTTTGGGCTCAAAATCATCAAAACGCCATGGAAATGAGAGTGAGGAAGCTTTAGAGGCAGATAGGAATGAAGCAGACTCTCACGGATCTGAAATGATTTTCTCACAGTTATATTTAAATATCGTTCCATGTACTTTATGCTCCTCTATCCTTTCATATTTTTTTAGTACCGCAGACCTCGTCTTTTAAATGATTTACGATTTTGACATTTTATTTACAGTAAACTCTTTATAAATTAATAATGTAATTTTATTCATTTAAAAAAATTAATTAATCAATAAATTTAAAAAGATTTTTTGATTTAACAAACTTACGTTATTTTTCATGAATAAAACATATATATTATATTGGCGGTTTTCTCGATATATTATCGGTGACCGGTAATATTATTGATCTAACACCGGTCAGATTATATTTTTCGATCTAACACCCTTAGCAGTAAAACTGCCCCCTGCACCGCGCTATACGATGATTTGGCGCCACGTGAGGTATAACGCGCCCCCTGCATCGCGCTATACGGTGAGCTGGCGCCACGTGGGTATAGCGCGGATCACGTACCGTGCTATACCTTTAATAATTTTATATAGCGCGGGGCAGGTACCGCGACATACATTTACTCCTGACATAATTTTATATAGCGCGGGGCAGGTATCGCGTTTTGTATAACTTTCCTCGCTATAAATACCATTCTTCGCCGTTTAATTTCTCACATCTCTCCTCTCAACTTATAAATTAATATAACAATTTCGTCAACGAGTCAATAATTCTGGCAATCTTCTCATATTTTATTTAGAAATTCGTGCGATTTTTCGTTATAAGGTAATTTTATTATAATTTTTTTTATTTATTGTTTATTATGATTATTTGAAAAAAAATATTATACTAATTATTTTCAATTAATTTTTGTATTTGTAAAATTGGAAAGCGGGAGCATACGTCGAAATAGTTTTGCGGTGAAGGTAATAATATTAAATTATATTAATTTATTTACGTTGATGTGTAAAAATTTTATTGTGTTATATGTTCGTTCATATATAATTTATTAAATCAGGTTTGTTTCATTTTTTTCCAGATATAATAGTGCTGCACTTTTAAACTCAAATAATGGCGCGACTTTCAGCTATTGTTTATTATGATGGTGAAATTCGAGAAGATGAAACCGACGTTGTTTTCGTATCAAATGAGCGTGTTAAAATATCATTTAAGAGAAACATAACTCTTGAGGAGCTTATAACGAAGATTTCGAGGAAGATTCATGTTGGAAGTAGTAGAAGAGTGTCGTCGTTGCAGTATAGATTTCCAACATCATTGTTGCCATTAACTTATACAGCGTTCGAACTTTCGAACAATGATGATCTTGAAATGATGGTTGAAGCTCAAAGTAATTATTCAGACGCCGCTATTGAGATGTATGCACATTTTGTTCAAGTGCGTGTTGTTCGGGGTTAATCATTAAGCTCTCACTATGGGCTGACTGAACAAGTTGATCAAGTTGACAACCCGACGACAGTAATGTGTAATGATTTTAATGCCATAATGGGTAGACATTCATCCGCAAATCCTTACGATATGTACCAAGGTAGGTCGAAGAACAATCCGTATGGCAACATCGCGTCCAGTTCAAGGGGAAGACATTCATCTGCAAATCCCTTTGACCTTAATATAGAGATGCCATCGACGCAACATCTGTGCAGTTTCCATTTGACGTGATGGTGATATGCCTTCCAGTTCAAGGGGAAGGCGTGCAAGTAGTAGGTTCTTTGACCTAAATGTGGAGAGCATGGAGAAACCATCATCTCCACCAGAAGAACCGCTTCGTGAGCCTGGTGCGGATGGTGCTGAGACTGGACTGTTCATTGACCTAGAATCACCGCAATTCAACTCCGATGATGATGAAGTTCCAGGAAATGTGGCACAAACTGACCCTCATGCACACATGTATGAAGCTGATTATGGTGCAATGTACGGACCAGAATTTGCGGATATGCCTCATCTCGGTGACTATGGGTATTACTCATCAATAAATAATGGTGAGTTATCTTTAGGCATGGAGTTTTCAAGCAAAGAAGAAGCGATGATGGCTATCAAAAATTACAATATTCGTAAAACCAAGATCATCCCAACTTGGACTCTGAAGTGATATACCAAGCCATCATGCCCATGGTCAAAGCAAGCTCTCATATAGCTGTTGCAGTGTTGATTTCAGCTATACAATCGCAGTATGGGTACATTGTCTCCTATAAAAAAGCTTGGTTGGCAAAACAAAATGCCATTGTCAAACTTCATAGCAAATGGGATGCATCTTACAACGAACTTCCAGGTTGGTTTAGGCTGGTGCGAACGTTGAATCCTGGGACAATTGTGGACTTCGAAACCTCCTATGCTTACCATAATGATCGAGTTCTTCGCGATCGATGCCAATTCTACCGGGTTTTTTGAAGTTACCCACAGTGTGTTAATGTTGTCAAATTCTGCAAGCCTATGGTCCAGATCGACGAGACTTCTTGTATGGAAAATACAGCAAGTTTATTATTGGCAGTGTCCAAGATGGCAATCGTATATTCTTCCAGTTGCTTAACGAGGAAGGATATGATTATATCAGCCTCATTGATAAAGAAATGTAGACGAACGCATATGATGGTGGATATCGATATGGACACATGACGACCAACTTGGCAGAGGCAATCAATTCAACCTTAAAGGGTGCACGTCACTTACCTGTAGCGGCTTTGGTAAAGACTATATATTTTTGTTTGGGGGCGCTTTTTGCAAAACTATGGGGACAAGCTCAAACCTGGATGCAAGGCGATCAAGTCTATCACCCTAAATTAGTTGCAGATCTATAGAAAAAAATTGCTGCATCAAATGGAATGTCTGTAACAAGCTTCTCTAGAAGGCATGGAATGTTTCGTGTCACAGAGTTACCGCGACCTCTTCAAGGGATTGAAGTTGTGTCGTTAAGAGTAAATCTAAGGGACAGAACGTGCGACTGCGGGTTTTTTCAAGCTCTGAAGTATCCATGCTCTCGTGTGATAGCAGCTTGCTCGCATACACGTCAAGACTATAACTATTTTGTGGATCCCGTATACCTACTATCTGAAGTTTTTAAGGTATACGAATTTGAGTTTCCCCCATAGGTAATGACAAAGACCCTGATAAGGTTCAAGATTGACTTCCGATTGTACCAAATCCGAGTTTATTGAGGGAGCGTGGTCGTCCAAAATCCAATCGAATTCATTGCGATATGGATATTAGAGAAAGATCTAGACAAGACATAAGATGTGGGCATTGTAGAAACCCAAGACACACTAGAAAAACATGTTCACTTCTGTTGTCATCAAGTAACAATTGATGAGGAAATGATGTATTTTATTATCAAATAATAAGTCTTCTACTTTAATTTGCATTTACTTCAAGTTAATGTCATTTGATAATCACTGATGAAGATTAAAAAAACAAACACAATCATTAAATTTTAACAAGCTAATAACAATAAGTATTAAATGGTAAATGATAACCAAATTACAATAACTGATATTAAATGGTAATAAAAAAAAGAACTGAAATACATTAAAAAAACAAAATAAAGTAAGTATTAAATGAGAAATAATAAAAAAATTACAATTTAACAAAATAAAGTAAATACAAATATAATAAAAAACAAAATCTATCGATGCATGCGACGCGAATGTGTTCCGCAAGGCGGTGGCTATTGGTCTCGAGGAGGATTTCTTCGTATCACTGGTTCTGACTCCTCGCTGTCATCATCATCACCATCGTCGTCGTCGTCGTCGTTGTCGTCGTCTTGCGCAGGTACATGAGGAGCTGATGACAATGAAGCACCTCCGTAGAATAAAGACCCTGGAGGTGTATGACTGACTATCCCACCGGCCTGCGAAAACTGGGAAAAGTCATAAAACCCAGACATCGCTGAGTGTGAAAACTGTACAGGAGGCGGTGTTTGTGCTGAGGCCATGGGTGATGAGGCTGAACCCGCCAAATATCCAACATATAAACCCCAAGTCGGGTCTGCAAACATAGACCCATAATAGCCTCCAGGAGGGGTCATCTGTGACGTTGGCGGTGGCGGGGGTCATAAAACCGGGTGAAGGCGACGGCGGCAGCATCTGGTAATGGAAAGGCGATGACGGCATCATATATGGCTGCGGTGGCTGCTGGGAAGGTCCTGCTGGTGCAGCTGAGGATGAATCGGAAGCACCTGCTCTCCGTCCACGAGTCGGGGGACGATGGTGCTGTGTCGGTGAACGTCTCTGTCGACGTCGTGGAAAGGTCTGCCCTCGTGCATCCTCGGGAAGTAGAAACGGTTTCCCGTTACTGTTGAACCACTCATAATAATCCTCAGCATACATCAAGAAGTCAGTAAAAATGGGCTCTCTACGTGGAAGGCGCCGATGTCGATCCTCCCACAACACGACCCACTCATAATGCCTCACCAGCCAATCTGTATATGTCTTGCCGCGTCTATCTAAGCTATGCAACTCATCCATATTGCGAGGTACTTCCGGAATTGGTTGAAAACAACCAAACTGCCGGAGCACACGATCAGTGGAGTGCCACTCGACGGTCGCATAACAGATCAGAGGGACCATCGCCATCCAAACATCTAATGAACCCCTCAACTCAGGCGGGATCACCGCCCTCACATCATCAGTAGAATATGGCACACATTCAAACTAAAACAAATAATATATAATTTTTATCAAAAATAATAATCTAATTATATAACTATAATCTAAAAGCGATTTATAAACATTAAAATTCATACATATGTGCCAGCCTTCTGATCGATTAGCACCCTAATCTTTTCTAAATCATAAGGTAGCTCCTGATGATTTTTCCTATCAGTAGACCACCTATTCAAGGAAAAAATTTTGTATTACGCTGTATAAAATTATTAATATACAAAATCAGTTTTATAATTACCTCAGAAGTAGTGGAAATACGAATGGGTTATTCACAACGGGATATAAAAAGGGCAATCGATACCATGCCCAAGATTGCAGCAGCATGAGACATCCGCTGATAGCATTATGCCTGTAGTCAGTGGCTCCACACATCTCCCT